GTGTTGATAGAGCAGATTATAGAATTTTTATTCACTTAGAGCTATAGAATAGAGTCATAGACCTTTCTAGCTAGAAAGCACCTTGGAGACCATTAAACCTCTTCATTTTTGTAGGTAGAGGGGGAAACAAGGTCTGGAAAAGAGCAGTGACTTGTCTAAGGTCTCTCTGGCAGTTTGTGGGAGAGAGAACTAGACCTTTATCCTTCTGACTCTAAGTTCTACAATCTTTCCACCATAGAGTTGCCTTAGAGTTCCTTAGATTTTCATAGAGATTCCCATAGAATATCCTTAGAGATCCATAGATTTCCATAGAGATTTCTTCATTATTACTTATCAGTATAACTTATAAATGGAGATGGGCTAGGAGCAACTGCATCCTTTAGTCCCCTCCAGGATTCTTCTTGGTTTCTTCCCATTTTTTTGGCTTCCTTTTACTATCCCTATGTATTCTGAATTTTTTCTCTTATTCATCTTATTCAATTTTATACCTCTTCTCAAAGCATCATGTAGTGGAAAGAAGAATAGATTTGGAGTCAGAGGATCTGGTTTCAAATCCCATTTACTGCTGACCTTGGAAAAATCGCTTTAACTCTGATCAGTTTTTCCTGTGTAAAATGAAGGGTTTGAAGTAAGTCCATTTCTAAAGTCCCTTCCAGCTTATAAATCCTATAAGCAACTTTGATCTCCCAACTCCTTTTTGGGAAGCTTTGGTCTATCTCCAGTGCTGAATATTTTTCATATTTTGGTTTGTTTTTATTTTTTCCCTTCTGTCCCTTTTTGCTAAACATGTGTTGTCATTTTCTTTGTTCTGAGAAGGGGAGAAACAGAATAGTTTGAATTTCTTGTTCAAGTTGTTGTGATTATTTTTGGACTTTAAGACTCCAGAAAAGAAGTACGCGGAAGAATACTGAGGCATCTTCATTTTTCCAGGAAAGTGAATAGCTCAAATTAAAGAGCATCCCACCACCCCCACACAATGGAGATCTTCAAGGAAGTACTAGATGAGTATTGTTGAGTGTGTTATGGTAGAGATTGTTTTTCAGGTACACGTTGGAATGGATAACCACTGACTTCTCGCCTTCCAAATCTTAAATTCAAAGATTTTGTGATCTTTCAAGAAAATGTGGTGCAATAGAAAGTGTCTGGACTGGGATCCTTGCTCTGTTGTTATCTGTCTGATCCTGGGCAATTCATCTCCCTTCTCTGAGTATGTTTTGCCTCCTCATCCTTTGAATAAACTCAAGGGGTTGAACAAGGAGATATCGAGGCTCCTTCCAGCAGTAAATCTGTGATTCTGGGTACTCTATCATGTATGATATTATAAGATTTACTGTGGAAGGTACAAAAATTAAAGGAAAACACTTCCTTTTACACACAACCACCTATATGGGTTGACAATAAATATGAGCCAAATTGGAGAACAAAGAGAGGAGCAGATCGTGAAGTACAAACTGCGAAAATATTCAGGACAGAAAGCAAGTGGAAGATGACTGGGAAATTTGGTTGGAGGAATCAGCCAGGCCTTGAAGGAGATGGATGACCAGTCAACAAGTGTTTTATAAAGTGCTTATAATGTGCCAGGGACCATGCTAATGCTACAGATACAACAAAAAGCAAAAAAAGAGAGAGTCCCTATTCGGAAGGCGCTCATAGTCTAATGGAGGAGGTGAAATGCAAACCACTGTGTACAAACAAGATATGTACAAAATAAGCTGGAGATATTCTCAGAGGGGAGGTGCTAGCGTTAAGAAAGACCAGGATTGTTGAAGATGAGGTTGGGAAGCATTCCCAGAAGGAATGCGCATCAGACGTCTTGCAAATGTCAATTCTTCTCTTTCTGTATTTCACTGCCAGCAACAAAAGGTGTTTTGTTTCTCTCCTTAAGAAAATTCATCCTTTTATCTTTTCTTTTTTGTCCAGTATATTATTTCTGGTTATGGGACCATCCTTTACCAAGGGCCTCGTTGAACTCTGTGGAAGTGCTGAGCAGTGCATAACTATTCAAACAAATTGCCCGAATGACTCGCCCCATTTGGCTGACAGTTGAGTTTCAGTGTCACTGTGACCATGTCTGTCTGTCCCTGAAATGCCTGTGCCACTTACAGAGCCAAATTCGAACGTGGAGGGGAGCTCTCGGCATTTACTTGATGATTAAAAACAATATTTTCTCTATGAGGAAGCTGGGTTTTGGTGGGATGTGATTCAGTATAGTGAGTTTAAAGATCCCAAGACCTTATAGAAACTATTTCTTAAAATTCTTCAATAATACAAGCTTTTATTTGTTTTAGATCAGATAGCTGTTTGGTGTGATTGCCTTAGCTTTTCATTTCAGTTGGGCATAAGCCAAAATAAGATTCCCTCTGAAACCCCTCAAAATGCCTCTTTAGAAAATAGACCTTTAGTTTCATTTAAATAGCACTTCATCTGAAATAGACCATTTCTCATATAATAAACATTGCCATTTTAATGAAAAACATAAGGAATAAAATAGTTAACAATCTGCTTTAATTTCAAAACTCATTTTCTTTCGCATACAGTGAGGCCATATCTTGGTGAAATATGCAAAGCACCCTGGGACTTAATTATGTCAGTCAGTTGTCCTGAAATGAGTTTCATTTGGGACCATCAGTATAAATGATAAATGTACCAGAAAGGGCAGGTGGTGTTCCAGGCTCTGATTGTCTCATGTATAGAGACGGAGCGAAGAGCGGCAGGAACACTACTGGCTTATATGCACAGGGAGGCAGATGTTGTCAGTGAGGAAACTGCAGCTTTGCCCAGAGTCATCCCTGATTTGACAAAACTCAGAACAAAGTTTCTGAGTAGTTTCTGCTCAGAAGTAGTTTCTGAGGTCCCTTCCAGTGCTAGGTCCATCCATTATTCTCTCCTGCCCATAGCAGGGAAGGACGCTGGGGTTTGGAAGACTTCAGAATCTAGCTTGGTTAATGCTGGGTAGAAATCTGAGGACATGAACTAGTTCACAGAAGCCTGGTTGAGCTTGAAGCTGTGTAGAAAAGTTTTCAAAGGTACAATGAGCTAGCCCCATTCATGCAGCCGAATAACACTGGAGTGCCAGGGAGCAAGTGCTGAATACAGAATTGTCCCAAGGTTTGCTGTTGTTGTTACTTCCAACATCTAGCTCATCTGTGCCCATTGTATAATTTTCTTTCTTTTCTTTAAAAAAAAAAGCAACATTTTTTTTTCCTGGCATGTAACAAGTTTCTTAGCATGGAATTTAAAAATGAACTTCAAGTAAAGTTTATGTTGAAATCTCAGTTTAATTAATGAAATTGTAACACCTCAAGACTGGGAGAGAAGAGGAACTGGGGAAAAGAGTCCTGGATTTGGAGTCAGGGAACGCCTATCACCTCCTATCTGCATTACAAGTCACTTAATTTTTCTGGGCTTCAGCTTCCTCAACTGTAAAATGAGAAGATTGGCCTACATAGCTTCTAAGGTGGTTTTTAGCTCTACCTCTATGATCCTGTGGGATTCTCTTCATTAAGGGGCAGCTAGGTGGCTCAGTGGACAGTATGCTGAGTCTGGAGTCAGGAAGACTTATCTTCCTAGCTGTGTGACCCTGGGCAAGTCACTGAACCCTGTTTGCCTCAATTTATTCTTCTGTAAAATGAGCTGAAAAAGGAAATGGCACACTACTCTAGCATCTCTGCCAAGAAAACCCCAAATGGGGTCACAAAGAATCAGACATGTCTGAATGACAATAACAACTGTGTTTGTTCAGTCAACCTCCCAGAATTTTCTTGTGCCAAAAATATGGGTTATAGGCCTCATCCCACCCTTACTAGCTATGTGATCTGGGCAACTCATTTTATTTCAGTAGGGATAATAACACCGTATTTTCCAGATGGCTGAGGCTTTTAAGGTCATGGGCTCATTTGATTGATAAGGAAACTAAGGTCTGCAGAGGGTAGGTGACTTTCAAGGGGTCACACATGTAGTAGATGATAGAGGCCAGATTTCTGCTCAGATCTTCCCAATTCCAAGTCCAGTACTCAAGCTGCTACCCCACCATGAAAGCAATTGGTTCTGTGGTAGCTCTATTGAAACAGCAGTGTGTGATTTCTTATCACTCATGTAGTTTTCCCTGAGGAAATTCTCTCCGTCTCTTGGACCTGACCCACTGCAATCTTCTGAAATATTATTCCATGTCTTCTTTATCAGGGCTAAGTTCCCATGGAACCTCTGCTGTTGATGTCTTTTCCCTTTCCACTCCAAGGGCTCCCCCAAGGTGGTCACTGTGGCAATTCAGAAACTTGTCCAGAATGGGCACAACAATGCCACTCTCCCTGAGGCTTCTCCGGTCAATGAGTAGTGGCATTGCCAACTTTCAACGTTCTTCATCCTCAAGAACCTTAAGGTATCCTTTGTCAATTCAACAAACATTTATTAAATACTTCCTCTGTACAAAGAGACTGAGGATACATAGATATGATGTAGATTCTGTTCTCGTGGAGTCTATAGGGGAGTATGCCATGTAGATAAGTCACTGTGCTACAAAGGGCAGTGAGATAAGCACAGAGGAGAAATCCAGGCAAAGTCCTAAGAGGTATTGGAGAGGGAGAGATCACTTTCATTTGGGGGTAGTGTAGTGTGGTGAGTCAGGAAAGGTTTTATGAACAAGTTAGCTCCTGAGTTGGGTCTTAAAAGAAGGGAGGGATTTCAGCAGATAAAATTGTAGCTGATTCCATTTCTGGAATGGTAGATGGCATGAGCCAAGGTATGGAGATGGGAGAAGGCAGGACAAGGGACAGACCAATCCAGTTCAACAGAAACATAGACTACATGATGGTTGGGAAGGAAGGGTAGAGCCAGATCTGTGGAGGGACTTGAATGCCAGTACTGGAAGCTAATACTTTTTTCTCTTCCCCAGGTATACATTTTGTAGACTGGGTCAGGCTGTTCAGAGCTAGTAAAAGAGTCTTAAAACCTAAGAAAAATATGTAAGTTTATTGAAAAAGATAATATCCCATTTAAAACCATTTAGAAATTTACAAAACATTACATTAGTACATCATTTTAAAGAAGATGCTCTATAGAGCAGCTAGCTTTAAGTACCAAGTTTAGTGAGTCATCTTTTTTATTTCACTACGGAGAAAGTAGCTATGGAAACTCCTGTCATGTAGAATGTGTTGGTGTCGATCCATGTTTCCTCTCTGTTATACAAAAGAATTTTTTGCTGGAAGGATCTTTCTCCATAAAACAAGTGTAGTATTTCAGTAAAATCATGATGGCAGATGCTATACATTATTTTACAATGGAGAAGGTCTGTCTTCCTACAAGGAGATAAGTAGGGTTTTTTGGCTTCTGTGTGTTGTTGTTATTGTTTTTGTTTTTACTGTTTTAGTGAGAGTTTTGAATAATTCAGAGAATATTTTACTGGTTGGAAGGGGAAGTTGTGACAAGGCTCATCTCACTTTAATGATTTGGACAGGCTTGGTACTGAGGAATTCCCTTCTCTTGTTCCAGAACCAGATCCTAGGAGCACCTGGACTGTGCTCCAGTACAGAACCATTGCTTGTCTTCCGGTTCAATTTGTGTTTCCTTGTTTTCAGAATCTAGCGCTCGTCCCCTTATGCTCTGGTGAGGCTGCGGGAGCTCCTGTAATAGGGCACATACATGGGCCTACGTGGGCTCGTGTAGTTGTGGATGGATAATGGGCATCGTTATACCATAAGCTGTCTTTTCTACAAGTATGTGTTATCCACACAGAAAGGCTGCTCCCAGGCTGGCTTCCCTACATTATTCGGCTTAGTCCTGGACCACCTTCCTGAAATACAGTTTATTCAGCTAAAATAGACACGTTTAAAAATTAATTTAAACAAAGAATAATTAAGATGGCAAATGCATTGCAAAAAATCTCATATGTCAAAACCAAGTATAATTAAATTTTTGATTAATATTGTTTTAGATTATCCATATTATTGATCTTTTTCATAGATGGGACCATTTGAGAATTGACTGTATGTACAGAGATGCAGACTTAAGTATCTGTGGCATTTAGCTATTGCTGTAATTAAGTGTGGCTTCAGGAAGAGATTATGTGATAAGCATATTTCTTATAAGGTTCATTGGTTTTATTTGTGTATTCTGGGCCTTATTAGGGTCTCTTTGTGTGAGTTTAGACACTACTCTGGAAACAAGACAGAAGCAGTTTCAGCAATTCTGATGCAATTTCTTGGCAACTTTCCTGAAAATTTCCTCCTCCCTCTGAAATAGCTCTGTAGACTGCACTGCTGTGATGTGGGAAGGTGACTCTGGTGGTGAGGTTTGCTCAAGAGGCCTTGATTTGGGATGGGGCCAGTGCTTCCTGTACAACTGTGAGTAGATGGCTCCTCCCAGAAGCTCTACCAGGTGACTCTGCAACTGGTGTTTTGGGAGCCCCACGTTGACTGATGCACCAGACCATTGAATAGTCTCTCTCTACAGCCTATATATGCTTTGAGTCTGCCTCTTCCCTTTTCCCTGGGATTGAAGCATGACTGCCTCAGCAAGCTGCTGTTGGGTTTAATTTAGTCAGGAGGCTTTCTGACCCTTGCTCTCACTCCCCATGCATGTGCAGCAGAAATCTAATTATGTTCTTTTTGAGGTGTTGTCCACCATTTAAATTAGACTGTTCTCTTAGGTTGAGAGCCTAGGGGAAAATTAGCCATGGGTACTCACCAGAAATCAGAGCTTAGGAGAAATAGGAAATTTATTGCCATCACAAATTCTGCAACTTCTTCCCATCAGGCCCTCATTTCTAGCTCATTGTGAAGATGTATGCCTCAGATTAATAAACTGCAGGAACCTGAAGCTGATTTGAAATGATCCATAAGGCTATCGGAATAGCTGAACATATGATGTAGTTATTACGAAACTGAGAATACCAAAAAAATAGAAAATAATAGGTAGGGGCACCTTAATCTTGTGGCACTAAATATTATTATTTTTTTAAATCTCATGGGGATTTAATTGAGGCCTCAGTTAGCCAATTCAATTTAATAGCCATTTATTAAACACCTACTATGTGCAAGCACTATGCTAGGTGCTGGGGATACAAAACCAAAACAAAACAGTCTCTGCCCTCAAGGAGCTTACATTCTACTGGCAGGAAAGGTTAGATTTAGCTACCATGTTGGTTGCTTTTACTTAATTGATTTTGTTGTGGTTGTTACAAGGGAGGCTGAAAGGGGGTGGGAATGTTGTAAATAGCCTGATCACCTCAGGCCCAGATTCTCCTGGCCTCACCTTGTGAAGGGGAACTCTGAGGATCTGTGACTAGATAGCATGTGAATGTGAGTGTCATGACAGAAATTCTTCTTATTCTTCCTATACCATTCTCATTTGCTGAAAATTCACTATATTTCAAAATGGGCAACCAGTTATAATCCTGACCAGGCTAATGGAGTGTGTGTGTGTGTGTGTGTGTGTGTGTGTGTGTGTGTGTGTGTGTGTGTAGAATTAGGACCTCTTTGCAAGTCCTAGTAGCTTTTCGGTGTCATGAAATAATTAAATAATTAATTTGGGTTTAAATTTCTAATTAAGGAATGAAAAAGTACCAACAAATTAGGGCTACCATGCAGTTGGACCTCATTTTGTGCTTAAGTATTGCTGATGTCTCAGAAAACTGTGGACTGGGCCTGTTTGTTTTCCTAGGACACTTGAGGAGTAGTCCTCGGGTACCCTCATTTCTCTGTACCAACTCCCTTTCCCTGTCTGTAAGCCTAGGTCAGAGAGTGTTTGTATTCATGGTGTTGGTGGGTGGGTCATTGCAGGATGCTGGGGTAATGAAAGAGCACGTGAGTGGCTGCTGGCAACCTTCTTGCCCTATAAAACCAAATAAGTTTGAAAGGGAGCTCTGCAAGTTGGCATTAGAGTATCTACAAAGCCTTTAGCAAGTGGGACCTGCCTCTTCTGTCCCATTGCATGACTGGTCCCAACCCTGCTGAGGCCTACCTGCCCCACCTCTGATCAGGTCGGTATTTTGCACACCTCCTGGGATGACCTTGGTGGTCTGTTGAGCAGTTTGGCTCCCAGGCAGGAGAGGACATGGCACTTGACTTCCCCGCTTTGGGAAGGAGTTTGAGGATTGCAGTGCTCTAATAAGCTCAAATCCACCAGAAACATTTCTTCTTCACCTTTTTGGTTTTCCTCCGCAAGTCCTGTTTTTCAGGAGCAGGAGGCTCTGCTGGCGGCTTTGGTGGTAGGGCTGTCTCTGGTGGTGGTTCTACTTGGTCCAGACTACTTAGGACTTGATGAAACCTCCCTTCTTGCTGTCGGAAATCGTATTCTACACTGAAAACAAAACAAAACAAAAGTAGAAAAAATAATAATAAATTTGACCCAGGGAGTATTAAATAGCTTCTGCTATGTGCTCAGGGCTCAGCTTACCTTTCGGCACTCTGATGGGTGGTATAGAAAGTCAAAATGATTCTAAGATATCATTTCTATACTTGAAAGGCTGATCTTTTGGCTGGAGAGTCAGAATATATATTCGTGAAATAATTTCTAGTCATATAGGACAATATTTGATGGCGTGTCAAAATGAGTCATAGAGACTACAATAGGAAGATTGCTGGCTGTGGAATCTGAGAATCTAGGTTCAAATCTCACCTCTGGAGTACACTGTCTATGGCGTTGGGGCAATAAATTAACCTTACTTAACTTCATTTGTCCTTATTTGTAATCTTAGTGTCCTCATTTGTAAAATGAAAGGATTGGACTAAATGGCCTCTGATGGAAGAATAGAAAAGGTCAAGGAAAGGAAAGATCAGTGCATGAAGGAAGAGTCAAGGAAGACTTCTTGGAGGAGGTGGCCAATTGAATTGTACCTTGAAGGATGAGAAAATGAATAGAGAGGATGTAGGATGACCATCAAGGCAGGAAGAACAGCATAAGAAAAAGCAAAAATGGAAATGAAGATGAGTTTTACAGAGGTCAGTAAGGAAAGTGACCCGACTATGGAAGATAATGAGTGTAGGGGAACAGTGGAAAAAAAGATTGGTGGGTCATTAGATCTTAGAGCTACAGCTGGAAGGAACCTCAGAGATCAGCTAGTCTAAGCCCTTTCTTTAAAAATGAGGAAACAGGGGCAGCCAGGTGGCACAGTGGATAGAGCACCAGCCCTGAAGTCAGGAGGACCTGAGTTCAAATCCAGCCTCAGACCAAACACTTGACACTTACTAGCTGTGTGACCCTGGGCAAGTCACTTAACCCCAATTGCCTAAAAAAAAAAAAGAGGAAACAGGGGCAGCTAGATTGCTCATGGATAGGGCACTGACCCTAGAGTCAGGGGGACCCGAGTTCACATCTGGCCTGAGAGATTTACTAGCAGTATGACCCTGGGCAGTTTACTTAACCCTGATTAACTCCAAATCTTTTTAAAAAAATGAAGAAACATGCCTGGAGAACCCAAGCTTATAACTAGAGTTGTTCCTTGTCCTAGGCCTGTGGGTCTTAGAGGGTCTTGGATATAGGGTGTCAGTGAAGGTGTTCAGTTCTCTCTGGGCTATCTAATAGATTGGTGAGGTATGTGTTGAGGAGATGTCATATTTTCTCTGCTAATCTCTGCTAATGAGTAGGAAAATAAATGTCAAGAGATGAAAGGGTTCCCTTGTTACTCTGCAATATGGCATGCTTTCAGATACTCCTGCCTCCATCATTGATCGGACAGGATTTTCACTCATGGCCAAGGACTTAAAAAGAGGCTGTCATCATGGTTTACCCTGATCTGCAGCCTCACATTTCCCCTCTCCAGAATGAGTCTTCAGAGTCAGAGTTAGCACTCAAGGACTGGCTGCTGAAAAGGCAAAAAAAAAAAAAAGCCTCAATACTAGTCATGCATGAGTAATAAAGTGTCATCAAAGCAGTCTGCCACTTAGCATTCTGAAATGGGAGAACTTCCTCCTCTAAGGAGATCAAAAGGACAAGTATTTTTGGTGGCTGGACTAATGTCACTTCAGCCCATGGGCATTTCTTCTTTCCATACTTCTAAACAGCTAGTTTTAAAACCCAAATTATGCTGCCTCTGGCTTTCTTCTTTCTCCTTTTCTGCCTCTCCTTGGCTTTTCCACGTTAAAGGCATGTGGGATGAGTTTGGGTGTGAAGAGACTGGGAATGGACCCACGCTTGAGGGACTCAGGAATGATCCCTTTTGGGAACTGTGGTTGATTAAAAAAAACACAACAGTATTTTTTAAGGGCTACACTAATGTTACTTCATTTCTTTCTCTAAACTTCTATATTCTCCTAAAGCATATTTAGTGCGGTCTACACATTTTGATACACTATCTCTGGACTATCATGGAGTTTAAGAGCTAGAATGGACTTCAGAGATCATGCAGTCCAACTTTCATATTTTACATATTTTAGATAAGGTCCGGAGGTGTTAAGTGACTTGCCCATGATCACATAAGTACTAAGTGCTTCCTCTGACTACAGTTCCAGTTCTCCCTCTTGTATCATGCTCACCTCTGGGAGCATTTGGCTGGTCTCTACTTTAACTCTAGACAGTGTGAGATGGAAATGAAGATGAGTTTTACAGAGCTCCGTAAGGAAAGTGACCTGACTATGGTCACTTAATCTGGCCAGTCAAATCTCAAATGCTTTTGAGTCTGAGCCAGGATGAAAGAATCCAGGGCAGGCCAACGGAAAAAGTTTTTAGGAGCTGAGGATGCTGCTGTTGCCTCCCCTAGTGGGCAAATACAAATAGTGGAGGATACCTTACCCATCACTGAACTCTCAGCACATACTCCCCCTGTCCTCTGGTGACCTTGGGTTCTGTCCTGTTCTCCCCTCCAATCCCAACCTGCCTCAAGTAGGCATTCATCCTACTTTAGGTATTTAGAGGGTAGAGAAAAGTTCTTTGTGTTTGTTAACTTTCTGAACTGAGGAAAAGAAATCACATCAGGGAAGTGTTGATCTGTCTAGTTCACACCCCTCTAATGGTGTGAACACTCATGGGTCACAAAAAGAGTACTTTCACATTCACAGATACCCTAGCTCTTTAAATAGTACTGCTCTCCAGAGCTGTTGTCTATTTTTCCTGGTAAGGTGAGAGAGAAAATTAGACATCAAGAGTACCAGGTAAAGCCAGATTGTCTGTATTTAGGCTAGTGTTTAGGACTAGCATTTCTCAGTTTGGGACACTCCTAGAAACATACAGAACTATCTCTTCCACATTTATCTAAGTTCTACTTGTATAGCTATGTATCTATCCCCTCACAACAATATATACTTATATATAAATATGTATGTATTTATAGGTAGATGTACTAAGAGAATATGTGTGTGTGTGTTTAATGGACTTCTAATTTTATTGGTATTAGTGAGCTCCTGGTAAAGAGCTGAAGAGGTAAAGAACTCTGTAACCTGTGGTCTTAAATATTAGCCTGGAGCACTGAGGGGTTAAGAGACTTGTTCAGAATCATAGAAACATGTCATTATATAAATATATTTACACACATATACATGTAATTCACACATATATACATGTATATGTATGTATATATACACATATATACATATTTAATAGTATACATCAGGGGTAGGGATTGACACCTTGTCCTCCTCCTCTGTCATTACTTAACATTAAGAGTAAGATAGAGTGGTCCTATTTTCAATTCTCATCTATCCAGATGTATGTATATTGTGTGTGTATGTGTGTGTGTGTGTGTATCATTAGACACACACAAATATATACATATACATGTAAATGTGTATACATATATTTGCAGATATGCATATCCACACATATATACACATCTGTGTGTGTATATATATATATACACACATATATATACACATATATATATGTATATGTATGTATGTATTCTGTGCAACATGGTATAATGTATAGATATAGAGAAAGTTGGGTTCAAATCCTACCTCTGACAAGTCTTTTAACCTCTTAATGCCATAGGAAAATTTTTAGGACTGTAAGTCATGGAATACCTGCCTATGCATAGGTAGAGAGAAAGAGAGTTTCCTTACAAGAATTTCCTTTACTGTATATGTTATTGTTTTAGTAGATATTTAGTTTTAAATATGTGTGTGTGTGTGTGTGTGTGTGTATATATATATATATATATATATATATGTATACATGTATTTATACACATGTGTCAATGCAATATATGCATGTATTTATGTCTGGGAAGGTGTTTTGATGCCAGAACTTCCTCCCAGAACTATCTATCTATCTATCTACTATCTATCTATCTATCTATCTATCTATCTATCTATCTGTCTGTCTGTCTGTCTGTCTGTCTGTCTGTCTGTCTGTCTGTCTGTCTATCTGTCTATCTGTCTATCTGTCTATCTATCTATCTATCTATCTATCTATCTATCTATCTATCTATCTATCTATCTATCTATCCATCTGTCCATCTATCTATCTACTTATATGTCTGACCATCTCTCTATCTATCTACCCATTCATCTGTCCGTCCATGTCTGTCTGTTCATCTATCTATATATCCATCTATCTATCATCTAGTATAGGAAACTTTGGTGGACTCTTATTTACTAGTGTAGATCAGGGAACTGTCCTTTCACTTATAATCTTACAGATTTTCCTGTAGCCCTGACAGATTAATTGACTTGTCTAGAGCCACACAACCTAGGACACATCAGCGACATGCCTTCCTGTCTTCAAAGCTGGTTCTTTATCAACTACATCCCACAGTATATTATTTTATACACACATACACACCATATTCCTTCTTTGTTCCATGTTTAAACCTCCCTGATCAATAATTGGCATTGATACCAATCCTAGAACGCCATGGTTCACCAAAGGGACACTATTCATTCATCTGTAGGATATTGAGGTGGCTCCTTTATGGGGTAGCATCTGGAGGGTCTGCTTCATGTGAGCCTATCTTATTGCCTCTCCTTGGGAACAGCCTGTACTAAATGCTCTACTTAATTAGGTTATATTCAAGGTCATGAATTCTGAAAGGCTATGATAATAATAATAATAATAATAATAGCTAACCTTTTTAGTATCTTAAAGTTTCTAAAGTGCTTTGCATATATTATCTTATTTGATTCTCCTACCAACCTTTTGAAGTAGGTGTTATTATTATTCCCAGGTCCTAGGAATCTCAGTAGGGCCAGGGGCCATCTTGAACTTTTTCTTATCCATCTAACCCTCCTGGACTCACAAGAAACTGATTTTTAGACTCCATGGCATAAGTGAAATGGTAGAGTGAGGCCAACCCCATTCTTTATTAGAAGAAGACAACATTTTTGCATTTCCTTCCTCCACTAACACCCTCTGTCTTCTCATTTGTG